TAATTGGTGGCATAACCAAGCCATTTCTCCACGAAGATTAGAAGGTAGGAAAAAGTCAACTGTTGACCAAGTTGCCTACTAATTCTCAATCCGTGTGATCAGGACGGATTTCAAACTTTTTCTGATCTGGTGGCAGCAACTTTCACGCTACCAAACTAAATTAAGAAAATAAATACCTTTGGCTGAACGATCCCATATACAGGGGGGTGAATTTTTCTGGTGCGAGTAAACTGAGATGATTATTATATATTCATTAGTAGTACTTATATAGGGATCGCCAATTCAGACCAGACGGTCATTTATTACACTATTTCACTGTTGTTCCTGCCAGAAAAAAATTGTAACAGATCACACTAACTGATTTATCTTCCAAAGTGACGTATTAAAATTGGCAGGAGACGTATCAAATTGATCTTCAATCATCGGTTTTTATACGTTAATTCTCAGTTGATACACCAACCATGGGCGCCAGCAGCGGGGTGCAAATGCACCTCCTGTCCGGAAAGAAAGTGCTTAGAAAAAATTACATATTTTTTTACCCGACTGAACCAGCGGGAGGGTAAAGCTTTTCGAGTGTAGTATATTTGCATATATGTATGTTTGTATGTATGTATATATGTATGTTTGAAAGTGGTTGACAATGTTTCATGGTGAATTTTACCGGTTCGGACTTCCATTGTCTAATATATGATTCGAATCTTCCTAAAAATAGGAAGAATTGCTAAAATATCATTTATATTTGAGCAATAGAGCGTGAAATGAAAATACAATAAAACGAATAAACTAATCAAGATAAAAGATGAACAGTGGTGGAGCCAGAGCTTAATTTAATTTGGGAAGGTACATTCATCAGCGATGCCCTCTGATGTTGCAAGAAAAAGGGTTGATGAAATAAAGGAAACATCCGAAGTTAAACAATGTTTCATGCTGAAAACACTTTATTGTGAGATTTTCACTACACAGTTTTACAAATACGCAACACGTGTTTCGCCATACAATGGCTTCTTCGGGCGTGTCTTACTAACTCAACTAATAAGACACGCTCAAGGAAGCCATTGTAGTGCGAAACACGTGTAGCGTTTTTGTGAAACTGTCTAGTAAAAATCTCTCAATAAAGTGTTTTTAGAATACGTTAGTTATGGATTTTCATGAAATATGGGCCGATTCCATCATAAAAATTTTTCATTCTTCATGAAACACGTTTTTTTTACTTACTTATGTACAACACGATTGAAAATGAGAAAAAAAACACTCAAAAGTAATAACAAAATATCATGTCCAGGTTGCCGCATTAAAACCCCAGTCAAATTCACTGACCCTGCGGCTATTTACTCATTGAGACCTTTAAAATGAGCCCAAACAGGTCACGTCTGCTGCAGCTAAGTACCCGAGGAGTTGGTTCCTTGCAGAAGATTCTGGTTGCAGCATCATGTCAAAGTAAAAATAGTATTGTCCGTAAGTACTCTTGGAAATACGAATTTTTATTTAGCTATGAGGTAAATCAAAAAACCGCATCAAAACCGGTATACTAGTAGATAGGTATAGGAAATTTTCTAATGTATTAATTATAAAAAAAATCATGGCGTGTACTTTTGGAATCCATTAAAAAAGAATTTTCGGCTTTGAGGACGTGGCATTGCGAGGCCGTGGGCGTTGGCCCACGCTCACGCCGCCACTGAAGATGAAAATAACCACAGAATAGGTAATTAGAAAAAAAGAATTCAAATCAAGTTACTTCACGAAGTTTCCGACTTATCCACAATCATCTTCGGATAATGACTGTCATAACCCTCTGCTTGGCAGCTGAAAACAGTTTCTAGGTTCAAATTCAGTTACCGTTTATGTTTTCGCCTATTTTGTGACTTTCAACTGTCAGTTCACGCACAGAAACTGTCAATTGACGCATCAAAATTGACAGTTGGCGTACCATAACGGAGAATTAACGAATAAAATCCTACTATTGAAGATAATTTTGACACGTCTTTTGTCAGTATTGATATGTCAATTATCACTTTTAAAGATAACCGGCTATTGTTTTCAACCTCTCGAAATGAAATGCTTCGTTTTGTATGCAACTCTTTCAAAATTAACAATTTTCTGTCAGATGGTTCTTTTTTTCTGACTGGATTAAGTTTGACGATAGTCGTGTCACCGAAGTGTTCTGGCGATGTATTGAATTTATTAGGGCCTCTCGAGACAACCTACATTTTGTTTTATAAGAAAGAGGACATTGGCAGATCAAGATCTTCAGATGATGTGGTGCTACAGGTTTTTCCGGATTTTCCTGCAGCTGAGAAAGCAAATGCGCCACTGGAATCAATAAAGTCGCCCCGGAGCGCAAATTAATTTTTATTGTTGTTTTATAATTTCATGATTTGTATTTTGGAAGTGTTAAACTGAGTTATTTTTGAAAGAATATTTTTCTGACAGAAACAACACTGAAATAGAATGGGTTTTTTTAACTGTCTGACTTACCCTGTATATATTGCACTTTCCCATCCAATAAAGTACATGGACGTCCATGATAAAGTAACATCAAAACACTAGAAGAAATTTTGAATAAAAAGCACAACAAGTAAAACTGGTATATTTAGTAAATTGCTAATGAATGCAAATTATTATTTTATTTTAAATAAGTACACAAGAAATTCGTATGCTTTGCCAAAGTTGTTATGTCTGTGGACCTCAAATAACAATACAATTTTAAAAATTCACTTTTCGGTGGTCAAAAAGCTGAACGATGAATCTCATAAGAAAGTTGGCTGGAGCAAAAAAAATGTATTCCACAAATCGAAGAGAATTCAAAGAAGTTTCAATTAGAGTTCCTTGGGGTCAAGTAGCTGGAAAGTGGTGGGAACCCTACGATGAAAGACCAATTTTAGGTGTTCATGGCTGGCAAGTATGTTTGTTTATATAAGTTTTTATCGACCATCTTTGGGTATTTTCACCTCCCACAATCTGAAAAATATGAAAATTGTAACGAAAATCTTTATACCTACACGTGTAGGGCAAACTTTTTAGTTTACCCGATAAGTTATTGCGTAAATTCAAAGTATATTTCACAAAGAAAAATGTTCCATTCATCAGTAAACTGTCGTATTCAATAATTCTGCTTTCGGAATAAATCTAAGGTTTCTTGAGTGTATCTGATGTCTGGGAAGGAGTTTATTTACCAAATAAGTAGGTTGTTGTTTTTTTATCAGTTTGTTAATGAAACAGGCGAAATGCCTGTATCCATCCGACAAATATCTCAATCTTCATTCTGGTGTACCACAAGATTCCATTTTGAGACTCCTAATTTATGTTATTTATACATACCATGTGATGGAAAGTCTTCAAACATGTGAAATGCACCTGATATGTTCTGTAATGGATATGATAAACTCAAAACACAGAATACATTAAATAATAACTCATTGATGGTTGAATAAACCCAGGATTGAGACTTACCCCTTTTTCGTTTTTTGCTGTTGGATCCAAACTGCTTCAGGGAAACTATTATGGCAAAGTAGGGAGGGATCAAGGAGTGTTTGGAGAAGCAGTGTTGAAGAAAGCTTATTTGAACAAAAGAACAATTCACACATTAGTCTATACAATAAAATCACCAGCGCGTATCTTATTTCTTTTCCGATCCAGCCGTTCCGAATATTTCTAATTTCAAAAACTAAACTACTCAACTAAGTAGATTTATTCTATCAAACCGAGAGCGGTGTTGCCGAAACTTAAATTATATATACATGCCTAAACAGCACCTGTACGCTGAAAACACTCAGCTCTATTAGTTTTCCATTGTCGAGGGTACACCCAAATAAATCGAGATCTGAAAGCTTTTATTGAAGCAGCGTCCAATCACTACAAATTGTGGATGAGGTGAAAAGTTTGGATATTATATTTGATGCTGAATCGAAATTCCAAAGGCATGTTAATAAACCTTTGCAGTGGTCATATTTCGTATTGAGAAATAGTTATAGTCAGAGACATTTCCTTCCATTGAGGCTAAAAGCTATACAATGAGAAGCTCCCGTACTATGGAACTTCACCCATGCAAATGTAGTTTATAATTCTTTTTTAACTAGCCAATATGAGCTAAAAACTTTAAAAATTCAAAACTCGTGTTTGCGGCTCATATACGTTATCAAAAAAACGGTAGCGAATTTCGCATAAACTTCATGATAACTACCTGATTGAATATGCAGAACAAAAGAGTTTTGTATGCTGCATCATTTTTCCATAAACTTATTATTAGCAAAACTCCTAATTAACTGCACAGGAAAATGACTTATAGAGCCGATATGCATAACCTGAATGTAAGGAATAAAGGATTACTGACACCACCAAGTTTTATAGTGAAATCTTTCAGAAGTAGTTACGAATTTCAAATTTGTAAAAGTTTTAATTCTTTACCGGAATACATTAAAAAAGTTGGGATACAGCGGTTTCGAGTAGAATGAGGAATGTTCCTCGACGAAAATCAAGTAGTTTTCATAAAAGAGCTCTAAAACAACGCATTTTAAACTTATCATTTCATCCTTTTTCTTTAAAAAATTATTTGAATACTTAAAAAAGAGGAATGACTTTTTCTTTTTTGAAGTAGATCTAGGTACGCATAAATTATTTCAACTTGATATAGGCGCTGTTGCCAATATATGAATTAGATACAAATCCCTTTGAAAAATAAAACCCAACATTTGAAACATCAATTTGAATACTTTTCGAAGTGAATTTTAAAAACTCATGAATTAAACTCACCTTTATTTTGTTCAAACTTGCATTTGCTGTAATAACCCAAATTGAGGAACATTCCCCATTAAACAACTACTCATCTCAAAGTTGTTGGAAATAATCACCCGTACGCAATTAATAGTGACTTGTCTTTATAAAAATTGATCTTCACCTTTTATTTTCATCTGGCAAATTTTAGTATTTTTCTGCCATGTATAATTACATCATGGGAATAACAAAGACGTTTATAGTTATAATTATTTCTTCTCGGATTTCAGGACAACTGCAATTCATTCGCTAGACTGATCCCTATGTTGAATAAAAATGTCGGTTTCCTGGCAATTGATCTACCTGGCCATGGATTGTCCTCGCGTCTGCCGAAGGGGATGAAGTACCATTTTACAAATTATTTAATCGCAATTCGAAGTTTAGTAAAATATTTCGACTGGCCCAAGACCTCCTTGATGGGACACTCTTTGGGAGGTTTGATATGCTACTCGTATTCCATGCTTTATCCTGAAAGCATCGACATGTTATTATGCCTAGAGGGAACCAAACCCATAATTAGGGACAATCCTATCGAGTATAGGGCGAAGAACATTGATGCGTTTTTGAAGAATAACTCGTACGTCGATTCTACGGAAGAACCACCAAGTTATGATTTTGAAGATATGGAGAAAATGCTGGCCGCGCAGAATAACAAGTCTGTATCATTGGATTACGCTTCGATTTTGTTGGAAAGAAATTTTGCTCCGTCAAAAATACATCCAGGTAAATCATTTTCATTATTTCAATTAAATTTCCTAACTGAAGTTTTCTAGAAAAGGGACCGGAATGAGATGAAAAACAGGTATTCGTTAACTATTTAGTGCATCTAATTCTTCACGTTACCATTATATGGAATCACTGGACGGTTATTAATTTGTGCCTTGGAGTTATTTGAATGCATTGATCATCAAATTTCTCGATCACCTTTCTTTTTTATAGCTTGACCAAATACTCTTTCCTCTGGGATAGAGTCTTCTGACGATCCCATAGATGGAGTCTTCGAAGAATAAGATTTTATCGCCTTTTCTTTCAGACTTGTCTTTCAAGAACAGTTGATTGGTTTAGCCCAGCACTACTGATGAGACCTTGGCGGATCTATGTCGAGGCTTGGCATTCCAACCTTGAAAAACCTCGTTTATCTTTGATATTCGAGGACTGAATCTTTTGTCTATCCCATATATGGTGTCCTTGTAGGGAGAGATATCATCGCCTTTGCTTTCAGGCTTGTTCTTTATTGGGACAGTTCAGTGGTTCAACCTAGCACCACTGATGAGACCTATGGTGGGTCGAAACATCGTTGTCTGATATTGGATCACATAATCTGTTCAATGGTTCTTTACGATCTTCCTCTTCTGTAGGAACATAATTAGCTAATTTTCGTTCCTGTATTTGGTACGGTGCATCTTCATATAATTTGAGGTCTGGATCTTTTCCATCAGTCCATCAGCGGATGATTTGGTTATACATTGTTAAACAAAACTTTTCCCAAAAAAATTGTGTTTTCATGGATAATAGCTTCAACTTGAGATTATTTGTTCTGGTTTGTTGAATAATTTCTCCATTCTTGGTTCTTCGAAAAAAATAACGCCCTCGCCTTTCTTTTCAAACATTTCACGCAGCCAATTTTTNATAAGTAACTGCAGTAACGTTAGTTACAAATAAAAGTGGTAAAAAACATAGAAAGTTCCATTTCTCTTTTCTTCATTATGATATATTATTCATTAGGTATTTAGCATTTTTTGAAACTATATGATATTATACTCCGACTTTGACTTTGTAATCGAGTTCGACAAAACTTTATTGAAAGTTTGAGGTAAGGTACATATTTTTTTTTGTTTAATCTATTATCTATTATTTTAAGTCTCCTTTCGCTTTGAGGAATATGAAATTGTGCTGCATATGAACTGAAACTGGAATATAGTAACCACACATACTATAATCTGTCAAAATCCAATAACTACCATTATTTTTCGAATATAGCGTAACAGTTTTATATGATGTGACAATTGATTGTTCATTTCAATAAATTATTAATAACTCTTTTGTTGATTTTATTCTGCGATATATTCACGAAGTGACATTATTTCACTCATCGAACAAAATGACTGATTTTAGTACAAAAAACTCTGAAGTGCCCATACATTTTTGTTTGTTCAATAAGTGTAAATACGTGTTATATTTTCAGAGTATTTGTTTTGTTTGATGAAAATCGGAAATTCCGAAAGCGTTTCCAGGCATTCGTTTTATCTATTATGTGCATTGCTTAAACAATGTTACAACAGGTATGATGACAGTAAGTAAAAACCACTATAATGATATATTTGTTTAATGAAACCTTATCAGATCAATAATATTAAATACGGCAACCCGCATTGATATTCAGAACGCCAATCAGAGCGAATTACGTCACGTTAGAGTAAACAAACGAACATGACATCTTGTATATTTCAACAGTCATACTCGACGCTAGTTTATTCTGATTTTCTTCACGACTAAATATTGCTTACAGTAGTTACAGTGATGTTTCCTTTTGTTGTGTTGTTAAATCAATAGGAAAATAACGTGGGCCATGGAACCATGATTAACAAAGGCAAATAGAATGTTATTAAAGAGTTTAATTTTCCTTGTATAACGAGTTTTGTCTTAGTTATCTCATCTTGCCCCAGTCTCCCCTACTTCAATACCTCACTTCAATCTCAACCTATTCCTATAACATTCTCTTCTATTCGATGTATCTTTGAGGTGTAGCGGAATGGAACGCAAATAAACAATTCTTCCATGCGCCATTACCATATAATTCATATCCTCATGCTCATGAAAGTAAATGCAAGAACTCTGTTCATTCCTTGTCAATATTTTTCTAGTCTTCAGAGTCTGGTAAACCTGATAACATTTTCGTAGGACCGCACTCACCCGATTGTAATAGCACTCAATAACAAAATAACTACCAAATGAGTTATTCCTTTCACCTTACTTTTTTTATATAGTCAATAACTTATGATACTAAGGATTATGATTAATCTACTGTCATGGTTACTGTCATATAAACATTTTTCCACTTTCAGGAAAATACTATTTCACTAGAGATCCGAGACTGAGGACGAATGCTTCGATGCCTTTCTCCCAGGACGAATTGATAAAATCCGCACACCATATGACAATGCCATTATTCATTATCAAAGCTGAAGCTTCTCCCTATTGGGAGAGAAAAGAATATTTTTTTGAAGTGTTAGACATCCTTAAAAAAACGAGTGTGGACTGCGACTTTCACTTCGTACCAGGTACCCATCACCTTCACTTGAATCAACCTGAAAATATAGCGGATTTGATGGTAAACTTCATTCGTCGCCATAATGTCGAAGATAGAAGCAAAGGAGGGATTACTGATGCCATTTTTAACCTGGATAATGTTCAAAAATGATGACAGTACGGCCAGGCATCATCAATGTGAGCAAATAAAATAAAGAAAACAAACCGACGTGACTGTTGCTTCGAAAATCCTATCCTTTTTAATGGGGGACTACTTCTATTTATGAAATTCGACAAGAAGTAGCCTTATAAGATATAAATGACGACATAAAATTTCCTTACTAGGAAATGTAAAATACTCGCAGTTTGTTAGTTGTGATATCATCCATACAAGAGCTGATTTTATCAACAAGGAAGGTTATTATTACTATTATATTAGTATTTCCAATGATATTGAAGAAGTCGATGACATCTCAGATTTCGATATCAACAATAGTTAGGTATGTGGAATACTAATATTTTGACATGAATCATTTCAATCTGTTATTTTGATATATTTGAATGAAGGGGCTTACTTTTTGAGTAACACTATTATTATAGTGTTTAAAGGTCTCTCAAACCAGAGGTGGAAACAAAAAAAAGACAATTTTTTACTATGACATGTTGTTCGAGGTAAATGGGATTGTTTCATTGTGTTTAGAGATATATTTACGAGTGTGTGCTTCTCTAGATGTGCTTTCCCAGTAATATTTACATTTCTTATTGGTCCTTATTGGTCCATTTTCTGATCTGATAACTTCACAGCCAATTCAGGGTCAATATATGGAGCTGATAATCCTTGCCTAGCACGCGGTTTACAGGTTTCTCACTTTTTCACAGAATTTCCAGATCACTCTGATACTCTGGCTTCGAGTGCAGTCTTAATGTGATGGTATTCATTGACCAAGTGGATAGCTGTAATGTAAATTTCACTCCCCACAGTAAACAAAAAAAGAGTATTGGAGAGCAAAATTTGATTAGCAGAAAATAAGCAAAGACAATAACAAAGTCTTGGGAGGAACCAACTGGGAGGCCAATGAAGCCTCGATTTTCGTATATCGAGCCGTTCCTAACGTCCAAAGATTGGTAACTGAAGTGGTAGTAGGTACTAAAGAGAATTTGAGCTCTATGTTGTTTCGTTTTTTCATGTTACAACGGGTAGAGTTGTTTTTTTTCCTAAGAGCTACAGCCCTTGTAGAGTAGAGTAGAGTGATTCATTTGACCACTTTATGAACAAAATTACATTTATGGCAAGTCATATATACTTTATATACTATGTCAGACACTTAAAATGAGCAACAACGTCTCTAGATTGAAGTAATAAATTTTATAAATAAGTGAAACTGGCATATCAAAATTCCTTAAAATAATCACAGTGTCACATGAATGGTAATAAAATAAAGATATCAATATAAAAAGGTCAACAAACAAGAACTGGCTTTATCACAGCTTTACAACATGAATAATTTTTCAAGAACTATGGATTGACCAGCTTCGACAGGGTAGAAACAGTGGTTGAGAAGATATCTCTTGATATTATTTTTTAAATTTCTGAAATCCAAAGATTCAACTGAGGGATGGAGACAGACAGTTGTATAAATTCAAATTTAGAGAGTTNGTGCTATGGAAACATATCAACTTTGAGGAATAAACAAACAAATCTTAATACAGACTATATCGAATAAAAATTGAAAATATAAACATTATTTTCTTTTATAGTGAGGATGGGTATCAGTTAAATCCTTCAGTTCTGGCGGAGAACATGCCTTTTGGAGTACTGATAATATGTAAGACCCTGAATGTAAAACGGCCCAGACACCAATTTTTAAGTATCTTGGTCGTCCATAATAACGTCATCATGATGGCGGCCGTAACAGGGTACTGGACCACCACGAATTGGTTATAACGACTAAACAGATTAACCGATTTCAGTGAAATTCGGCACACTTGTACTTGGGTACAATGATCGAATTCAATCAAGCAGTTTAAAAATGGTGGCCGTTCAAAACTAAAATAATTACAATTACTCCAATCAGGCAGATGATTCTTTCTGGATGGAATCCAGCAACGTCAGGGTATGTTTGGTGGCAGAGCTCCATACATGAGAACAATACTCCAAAGGTCTGATCTGAGCTTTATAAAGCATCGAAATATGCTGAAGTTTGTACAACTTTCTGGTTTGGAACAGTGTTTCAAGCTTTTGAGAAGCAGCCTTTGCAATTCAAGCGACATGATTGTTCCAAGACATATTGGTGCCTATTGACGAACTTAATCGAGATATTATACATGTGTGCTAAATTTCAAGGCTGACTTTTGACCAAAAGAGGTCAGATGTCAATCTTGCTGAAGTGCCCATCAGTGAGTTGAGGACCGCTCGGAGAGCGGGGGTGGATGGAGTGGGGTAGTAGGTTCTCCTCGCTAAATAGCTGGGGGGGAAAGCTCCTACTTCAGGGCACTCAACCCGGGAGGGGGCATGGGGGGTGCATTATTCTGTCCTTGAGTCATCACTACCAAAGGTTAAGTTAAATCAAGCAGACACGAATTACCATGAAACGAGCAACTTGAAAAGGGAGCAATGTTACGCCACTGGAGCAGTGATTCACTGGCGCCAACAGCTAACATGTGGTCTAATAGAATTATCCATAGTACTTGGCCTGACATTTGTACGTGAGCGTTTGTAAGTGAAGTAAAAAGAGTTTGATTGTAGAGTTATAGAATGAAGTTGAATTTGATGAAGCACTCATTATTGAATAACACGCACCGACGTAACATTACTGGGTAGTTTTGTATAAACTAACTTACTTCAAAATTTTCTAGTAATTTTCTTTGTCTTTCATTTGTGATCTTGTAGTTTTCACTATTTTTTTTTACAGATTACCGGACAGAAAGTTTTCTCAAGTGTTTTCAATCTTTCACGCTATCTCTATAAGTATCTCATAGGTATATAGCATAACCGACTCTTGAATAACACCGTCCAATTAACGAAAAATGTAATACATTTGGCTGCGCCACTCTGTAACTCTATCCTTTATCACAAATAGTTTGGAGCCGACCTTGAAACACACGGGAATTAGTACGCAGGAGAATGCGGTAACATCCTTTACTTCCTTTTAGTCTGGCAAATATTTGCCACGCGAATATCGAACAATGATTAGAAATGTAGTATACAAACAAATTGGCAAACACTGTTGCAAAAGATGGCATTCAACAAGAAGAGAATTTAAAGAAGTGTCAATAAAAGTACCTTGGGGAGAACTAGCTGGCAAGTGGTGGGAACCCTACGAAGAGAGGCCCATTTTGGCCGTTCATGGCTGGCAGGTAAGTTTGAGTTCACTTTATTGATTGAGTAACAACTAATCCCAAAGATAATTACACATGTAGGAAGTGTCTAATACACCGTCGCACGTTCTATGATTCTGTCACAGATTTCATACAACCCCATCCAAATACGACGCCTATAATCTTTGTGTGACCAAATTTTACAAATAAAACTATGTGATGGCATCTGTGCCATATTTTTTGTATATCAAGCGCCCATCGCTTTTTTCCCAATAATACTAGTATTTTTCGTTCGTTATTGTTTTAAGCTTATTTTTTTAAAAAATATTTTTAACTTTTTAGATCGATGTTCTGTGAAAGCGTGTTTTTTAGTTTTTTTAAACCATATTCATTATATATGAATTCAACGTGAAAATGTAAATATTACGTTTATTTATGATATTTCTTGTCGGCATTGCTTAGCTAACACAGTCACACCAAGAGAAGTTGCTAGCTGACGAAAGTTGGAACCTATACTGTTTTTTTTGCAAGCCCAGGGCTTTTAATTTACTAATGTAAAACTCAATCATAGGTATGTGCTTGTCTGTTGTACAGGTGCTACGGAGAAAAATGCTATTGGCTGTTTCCAATTTGAATACAAAACGCGTGCCCTGAGAAAAACAGCATTTTGGACAGGCAATAATTCTTTTTACCATTTTCCTCACCGTGGAATCCAACAATGATATCACGTCTAGTCTGAGAAAAAAAAAACAAATTTTCCTCAGAATTACTTATGTTAAGATGAAGTTACTAAATAATGCACAGGTAATAAAAACGAAGGCATTTCGATATAAACTATTAAAAACTACGTAAATCCAGCAGTGCGGACCGATAAAATATAGCTAATATTTTTTTTATTTTGGTTATGAAAAAATATCTTCCTATTGGAAACAATCCAATTAGTTGAAAAATATATGTTTTATAAGGGTGCTAACATTTTGAATGGTGACACTGAGCTTTCAGTACCACTATTTTCCGGGTTTGAAAGCCGTTGATTTTTGGAATTTCTTTCAGACGTTTCGCTGGCGCGAGTGGTTAGCTTCCTCAGAGGTTTATACATCCTGAGTTAATATCTCCGATGACTGAAAACCTCGGCCGCGAAAGCCTTAACCATTTTGTGAAAAACCTCTACGAGGAGGAAATATGGAGACTATACAACCAACTTAATAGGCCATCGGAGATATTAACCCAGGATGCGTATAAACCTCTGAGGAAGCTAGCCACTCGCGCCAGCGACACGTCAGGAAGAAATTCGGAAAACCACGGCCTTCAAGCCCGGAAAATAGCGACACTGGGTTAAATATTTGGAAAACATTTTGAAATACTATATGGTTTACTTTTACTATTTTTGGGTAAACAATGAGCAGTTTATTGGAGTCATCGGAATTGGCCGCGGTGTTAGTGCGCCCGACTCACGATCGGAAGGCCGTGGGTTCGATTCCCGCCTCGACCAGATATTTTTCTCGAGATAATNTCAAGACTAATTCTAACCTAACAACCATAACTCTATCCGTTCATCTTCAGATGACTAATCACAACTAGAAACTTTGCATAATCCTGTAATTTAACCATATAAATTATATATAAGCATATGAAACAAAGTTGTAGATATGGTAGATAGATATACATCAGCTCACAAAACGCAAATGATAACGTGGAATTTAAAAGACACTTATTTTTCAAGAACCCGCGCAAGATATAAAATTGGGAACAGTGATAATTCAGTAACAGTATTTTAAATATCTTGAAAAATCAAGTAAAGCATAATACTGATGAAATTAGTTTTCTACACCATTGAAAATTATGTAAATTATCAGACTTTTGATGTGTAAAATTAATCAATTTTCGAAGTTATTTCACTATATACTCACTCCAGAAACTAGTTATATGAAAGGTAAAACTTTTTTCTCATATCCCTTGAAAAGGTTGGTGAAACGCGTGTCGGGAAAAGTATTGCATTTCTGGTGATTGGAAAAAGTACTGGGTTATGAACTAGTTACATGTTTTAGTCTAATAGTATTTCAATTAGTGTTATTCTTTACACATACCTGCAGTTGTCGACATAAGACACAATTTTGAATGTTAGTTTTCACTAACATAAAATATATCTAGTAAATTTATAATTTGGCAGGGTATACCTCAGGGCTCGATCCTTGGACTAATACTCTTCCTTCTGTATGTTAATGACTTACCCAAAACCTTGAATCTGGGTAGTGTCCAGTTCGCAGATGACACATATCAGTCATTATCACAGGAACTAATACATCAAAACTCTCAACCAAAGCTTCAGTCATGTCAAATAGAAAAGTATATAGTCAGTCAAATAGTATATAGTCAGAGGTAAATATGCTTAAACTAAATGTCACCAGAACAATATGTGAAATTTCAAAATAAGTCTATTCCAATATCTGATCACACTAAATTCTTATATAGGTGTCACGATGTACGCAACGTTCAGTTGGCAAACTCATGTAAACTTATTAAATAACGGTATAAACTCTATTTGTGGTGTGATACGATACTTGGAGGGTCAAGTCTGTTTGTAGTCTGAGAACGTAATACTATGCCCATGTGCAGTCATAGTATTTTGGGGTTCTTCAGTATATTCACAAAAAATATTCAAACTCAAAAAAGAATTCTGAAATGTATCATAAATATAGATCGAAGAAACTTTTATAAGGAGTTCTTTTGTAAACTTGACANATTTCTAATTGTAACTTTGCCGATGATGAAACATGTATCTTAATATTTTAATTTGAAATTTAATCATTGTTGAAATCAGTAGGTACCTACCTTTTTTAGGGTATATGAGAATTAACTTCTCGTAAGTTTGACTTTTGCTGTATCCACTGTTGATCGTATTACAATGTAAAATATTATTATTATTATTATTGCCTTATTGCGCACCATTATGAATTTTGTTAAACATAACTTATACATAGCATTTCAATTTTTGTCAGTAAAAGGAGTATTAAATCATGACTGTTGGTGTTATCATATCACTGGCTATATGCCCATATCGCTTTTAGTGCCTTCAAAAGACTGTTCGATTTTTAGTCTTTGAAAGAGTTGCTTTCAGTTGAGTTTGCACTTTTTGAATAAACTCGATATGTAGAACACCAGAACTAAAGCACTGCTTATCGACTCACATTTAGATAACCAAACTAGATGATTAGTAATCTATCGCCAGGATGCTAACTTAGTTAGCGAACACATCTAGAGAGAGTGCTTTAGTTCTGGAAAATTTTATCTCACAAATAATTTAAAATCTATTTTTATTTCAATTTCAGGATAACTGCAGTTCTTTTGACAGGCTCATACCACTGTTGAATAGAAACGTTGGCTTCCTAGCAATTGACCTGCCTGGACATGGATTCTCAACTCGCCTCCCCAATGGAATGAACTACCATTTCATGAATTATTTGATTGCGCTCCGAAGCATAGCGCATCAATTCAAATGGCCCAAAACCTCTTTAATGGGCCACTCACTTGGAGGAGTGATTTGTTACACTTATTGCATGCTTTATCCTGAGGACATTGATATGGTCCTATTCATAGATGCGTCGAAACCCATGGTCAGAAAAAATATTAACGTTCGCATAGCACAGGCCATCGATGCTTTTTTCAAATACAATTCATTCAACGAATCTTCCGAAGAACCGCCGAGTTACAGTATTGAAGACATGAAGAAAATGGTTGGCGCACCTAATAACAACTCTGTGTCACTTGAGTATGCCACTATTCTGATGGAAAGGAATATAGCACCATCTAAATTATATCCTGGTAATTTATTTTTTATATAACTAAATACGACAGGAAAGACAAAGCACTTTGAGTAATAAAGACCAATACTTACCAAGTTTGAGTATTAACAATGATGGGTCTTTTTGTTAATAGTGTTAACTGAAAATTCAATTGGTATATTAGGTTATAAAACTTTTAGATGTTCCACATTTCCTCTCTAGTAACTCGAAAAATTTATAAAATATGTAAAGATATCAAGTTGGTAGGTTAATATGATTGATCTAACAGTTGTTCATTTGAGTATTTCTCAACGTTTCGCTAGTGATTGACGTCTTTTTTTTAAGAACTTTATTCAGATAATGCAATCATGGTTACAATAAACATTTCAGCACTATCAAAAAAAAAAGTTATCCAAAGCAGCACCAACCTCGGAAAACTAGCTAAAAACAATATAATAATACTTTGTGCAGTACAACAAAGTAATATTATCAAGATTCACTTAGGAATACATAATACAAATGTGAGTAAAATAAAAAACTTGATAGTAATTAATACAGAGAATTGAATAGATTTAAGCCGTTCCTTCGTTGAATATGCTAATATAAAAATTATTTTTCTTAAAGATCCTGAAATTAGGGCTATCTGTTATTTCCGTGGAAAGAGAATTATAAGTTTTCATGCATAGTGTAATGGGATTATTTAAGCCAATATTAGTACTTACAGGTTCTAAAAAGACATTATAATGGGTACGAGTATTGTATTCGTGGAGCTGATTAACGAAAGTGAAGTTGGTATTACATATGACTTGTTCATGTATAACCTTGTATGCAAATTTACCTTGCTCGATTTCTCCTGAATAGGCAGTATCTTGGTTACACTGTATAAAGTATCAGCCGAGGTTCTGTAGTCAAGCCTGAATAACATTTTCACAACTTTGTTTTGAACTATTTTTACTTTTTTGAATAATGTCTGTCCACATGTACCCCATAAGGAATTAAATAGCTAAAAATTGATTAGAAATATGCATTTTATATTTGATGGAGTGAAGATGGGCGTAGGTAGGTTCTACAGTGATAGAGGACACTAACCATTGGAATTACTTTTTTGTCTACATGGGTGATATGGTTACTCCAGCATAGGCTTTCATCGACTATTAGTCCCAGATATTTGGTATTATCGACTCTCATTATTTCTTTCCTCCTATTTTCACTATGATGTCCTGTTGTTTCATGTTTTTCTGAGAGAAGATTATAAAAGTAGGTTTCTTTACATTGATCTGAAGTTTATTTTTTGCAAGCTATCTGTGATACCTTTCAAGGTCGGTATTCACTAGTGTTTTGAGTTGTTTAGTCTTTACCCTTATATACAATTATAAGTAGTTTCAGTTTGGCTTGAAATGCCATCAACCATTGTCAATTGTTTGCGATCTAGAAGATATGTTTTTAGTAAAGAGAGAGCATTTAATCTTATTCCCATTTCTTCGATTGTTTCAAATAATATAGAGAATTCGTAGATCAACAAATACAGCAATAGTGTAGTGTTTATCATCCAGTTATCATCCAGCAATGTGGTTAATGAAGTCTATAGTTGCACTCAGGATGCTATTTTCTTGGAATCCATATTGGTAATTGCCAAAGGCAACACATTTTTTCATGTAATTGATAATACGTTTCTTTAAAATAACTTTTTTTTTAAATAACTTTTGACAGAGTCGGAACTACTGAAATAGGTCTATAGTTATCAATAATGTTATTTGGTCCTGATTTGTGTATAGGTGTTACCTTGCTGGATCGTCTATGTCGAGAGATAATATTGAAAACTTATAAAATATAATGTGTTCCAGAATTGTTCAAAATTTTCTACAATTTTCTAGAGTTATTCGAAAAAATATGAAGAATACTATATGAGTGGGAAGTCAGATTGAATATAGGAAAACTGCTGACACTATACAGTGGTGTTGAGAGTAAAAACTTCCCGGGACCTCAAGGAGGAGTGAAAGAGTATATCTTCAATATCTGTCTTGAATTTTTTATCATTTTCATGAATTGATTTGGAGATTTAGCCCTGCGTTAAAGGGTTATACTGAACATACACAATCAGTACAAGTTTCAGCCGCTAATTATATGATAATGTGAAAACAGGTTGAAACATTCTTTGTAATGTACAAAAAGTTTATTGAAAAAATTATTTCGGAATATTTCCACAAAAACTATTCATAACTCTTTAACAAACATATATTTGCAAAAAATGAGATTTGAATATTAAATAGCGTCAGTTTCTGAACCAAACAACCATATTAATATATTTCATTTATTCAAACTTGTCTGTTTTTGACAATTTTATTCTCTTCAAGGCATTATTATGTGAAGCATTGACTAGAGCTCACTTATTTATTATCTACTATGCTCATGTAGATTCTAGAATTAGGTGCGATGTTTATTTCTGAGGAGGGTCAACATCAGCAACATCAACATCATCATAATTTTAAACAAACACTTAAAGCATATCTGTTAGAAAGTTGTCATTATACGCTAGCAAAATTTTATGGGTCTGTTCTTTTTACTATAGCTTTATTTGATTTTTATAATTAACTTTTAGTATTTTTATTTGATTGTGTTGGCAGTTTCCTATACAACTTTATATTGTCTTTATGGAAATAAAGTATTATTATTATTATTTAGTATAATAAATAACATGAATTGACATTCTAACTAGCACTCTGCAGTCATAGAAAAATTTGTGATATTGTGATAAATAATTCGTTTTACTCTGCAGGAAAATTCTACTTCACGAGAGATCCAAGATTGAAAACAGGGACATCACTGTACTTCAACCAAGAAGATTTAGTGGAATATGCCCACCATATGAAGATGCCTATGTTACTTGTCAAATCTACAGAGAGTTCTTATTATGAGCCAAAAGAGAATGTTTATCAAGTTTTAGATATCTTAAAAAGAACAAGCATTGACTTTGATTTTCATTATGTGCCAGGAACACATCATGTTCATTTGAATAATCCTGAAAATGTTGCGGACCTAATGCAAAATTTTATTCGACGGCACAATATTGAAGATAGAAGTATAGGAGGTATAAAGGATGATATTATTAAAGAAGAAAATAGAAAAAAATTAGTTCAAATTGCAGAAGTGTCTTGACACCATAATGAATTTGTAATAATATATTTTTTAAATATTTGATCGACGGTATCATTTTTCTGCCAAATTACTTTGTGCAGAAAAAATCCACCGTCAACAACATGCACAATGTTCTATGAATTCGGTAAAGTATCTGAGCTTGTGAAATCTTCGTATAACTGGGATTTTACACTCTTCTTAAATCCGTTCTCGTTAAAAAGGGTCAATGGATACGGTGCCAGTTCAAAATTCAGAAAGTTCTTCATATCACTTTTTTCCTTTATTTGCAGTGAAATCCTTTGGAAAAGTAGTAGTGGAATTATTACTTTTTCACCATTAATCTTGATTGACGAACTGACAGCTTTTAATGATAAAACATTGTTTTTTCTTTGAAATTTCACGCTCCCAAAATCTTGTCCAATTATCGCTTCTGCCGATTTCTTCCAGATTTCGTAGGCTTGATAGCAGTTAATCGAACTTCCAGCGACTACTCCTGAATAGATTGACATAATGCTGTTCACCTCTGGGAAAGGATTGTACTTTTCAAAGAATTGTGACAATTTTGTTATATCTTCAACGTCTCTCGATATCCGAGATTATCGAGCGTCAACGTGCTGCTCTGACGTCGTGTAAGACACGTTGCAAAATTCTTTTATTTCATTGCATACCTCAACAAGCATGATCATGGTATGTACAAATTGAGACAGCACACCTTCAGAAATACCTCAACCATGAGTGAGTCCACCTTGAGATTTCATGGCTCTCATAAGCACTTGCTCGATGGTCATGTCTGACCAAATTCCAGACCAAAATTTGTCACTCCGTCGAACAGTGAAGAAACTTTCACTTGTAAATCTTTCGAATTCATACTCATTTAGCAAATCTTGCAACTTACGCATATCTTGGAGATATAAATGCGAACATTTCGCGTATAAAAAATGCCCACTTGCATTAAAATATGGGATCATCCTTTTGACGCACTTAAAGTGTAAATTCCAGTCACCTGATCGCTCTGCCATGATAAAATTTTCAACTAGTGTAATTATTTTCCAATATTTCACCCATAGCTGTGCTGTAGGCCCTCTACTTTCAAATTCTTCTAATTTTTTAATGAATTTTTCTTTAAGTGCTATTACTTCATCTTTTAATTTTCGGAAAAGTTTTCAAAGCCTAGAGTGTTCAATACTACTTCCACACGTGCTCTATCCACATCGTCAATCTCCATTGACGAGAATATTATGTTTGACAAAGATACGTGAATTAGTAGATGCCCTCTCACTGCTCTACTATAAGCTATTCCTTGAATAATTTTATCCACAGAATTTTCGGCATAGATTTTACACAACGCTTCTTTTAATCCGCTACCTTCCATAATAAATCCAATTGATCCTATTCTAGCTATGATGTTTGCCAATTTGTTAGGATTGCTTTCTGCTTCGCAAGCTAAAATTTCTCGAGCTTTAAGGTACAGCGGCTGATCGAATGTTACGAAATAATAATTTTGCTCACTAATCCTATCTTTATTATCATCGGCAACTTCAGAAAGTACAGAAAAAATAGTGTCATAGTCGCTCGGAGGGCTATTCAAGAAAGGCAGTGGTACAATTTTTGAGGTATTGTAAGAAGAATTGTTATGGACAATTTCCATAAAATGATTCCAACCTGTCGCTTTGTCATTATAAAATTTTGAATACAACCATAAGAAGTCATTAATAGGAAATTCAAATAAATCTTTATTATCAGCTGAAAAAATATCCTCAATTTTGATACTTTTTAACCCTTGCGAACCTTTTCTCTAAAAGTTTTTCGGCTGTATGAGTCCAAACTTTCCTATCACATTTGAAGATGGAATTTTCTGCAAACGAGAAATTTTATTTTTTGTGGTTACACTGGAGGATGGTGTTGCAATTATTATTCCACCCATAGCATGAAAAGTGTTTTTTCCATCTATCGTACACGTATTATTATCAGCATTATCAAACACGTACTGAATATGTTTCTTCTGAAAAAGTGTGGTTTTTAGGATCGCTGACAATTGACTTTTCAAAGCGCATCGTTTCTTCATATGTAGAGCATCAACCCAACTACGACAGTGAATTGATCAAATCTCTCGAACCAAATTTATTGTGCATCATTGCTGACAATCCTGTTAAGATAGGCGATATAAACGATCGCACCCTCGCAGATGAAATTAAACAATGGGAATAAGTTGCAACTCTTCTGTCTTATTAGAGATTACACTTAGAATCAGACGCGAATACACATTCTGTCTGTTCTGTTTGAAATATTTTTTTCCGTTAATCAGCTGTCGCCCCCATACGAACGACAACTCTCAGAAGTTGAGAAACTTGTGCGAGCTAAGACTAACGAAATCTTACCTTTTAACGTGTGATTCCTAACACTGACTCAAGTCTCTTTTTAGCACTTTTACTCAAGAGATCCATTTTTGATAAGATATTCACATGAGGCAATTCTAAGTTGACCATAACACTGAGGGCAGACATTGCTCCTGATATAAATTTAAACGGGTCAGTCATGAATTGTACATCTATAATATAAACGCAGCAGATGCTGAATTCCCAATTTTGCAGTTGCTTCGCCAATTTCTTCATTGCTGTAAGATGCATATAAAGTTCTATTTGACCTGGACAATCAAAGAGTATGTAGTCTTCGTCTTGATCGCCTATTTTGTCACGCAACCAATCAGAGTTTTCTAGTAAATACTCAATGCAAAATACTAGGCCCCCATTGGGACCGAATTGGAGATCTTCGTCTTCCATCGTGTCTTGAACTTGTATTAATTCTCTTATATCGACCAAAGGATTGTACTGGAAATGTTCTGCTGCTGGATCCAAATTCACAACTTTAATATTTTTTTTTATTTCCACACCATGCTGAACTAGTGTATGGCAATATGTAGACTTTCCACAACCAGCTGGACCAATCACTAACTGTGCATATCTCATTTTGAAACAATTTTTACCTTATTTTATTTTCAAAATATTCAAAATTCTTTTTACAAGTAAATTTACTGTACTATTTATCAAAAAGTAAATACTGAAGAGAACTTTTAGTCTTCTTCACTATATGGACTTATGGACATCACAAATGTCAATATTTATTTTTTCTTCTTTTTGGTTTATTGGGCTCGGTAACTAAGACTATTATCCAGATCCGACGATTATTTAACGGATTTATTATCACCCTTTGATTGGAAGTAGTCCTGCTCGAAACAGTACTACCACCCATAATACTTTTTACGCATTTTAGAATTCTTCTATCACATATGTCTCATGACCTCATCAACATCCAGCCTGATTACTGGCGTAGGAGGTCAATAATCCGCTCAATTCGTATTTCAGTTCTCTTTATAATGGAGCATTACATCATTCTCATACACACCTCACTTTTGGACTCGATTCCGACCACGACATCTACATGCCATTTTTGAGGGTTGTCATTATAGGCACAATCGTTCTCTGCCGCGCTCGGAAAGGAAGTTCAAAACAAATGTATATTCTGCATTCTGCGTAATATGGTCTTCTGTCACGCAATGAACAGAACATTACAGCAGTGTGTCAAACATGACGAAATAAAAATCGTACATCGCAAGTTAATATCGTACTTGTCGAGAAATTACCATACTCCGTTAAAAACTCTCAAAAATACTTTTTGTTGACCATAATTGTTCTATAAACTCTAGGCTATATAATAATATTACATATGAACGAATCTAGTGTTGTCATATCAACAAATCCAATCTAGCCCAATTACGGCTTCTGGCAAATCTACGAAATTAAAAGAATAACTCACAGAACTTTGAATTATATCTAAGAACTAGACGTCCTTTCCTGTCAACTAATCATGGGCATAATATTCTGCAATATGACCTATACAGGGTGTTTATTAAACATTCGTCAAAAAATTAAGGGACTATTCTAAGGATATTTCGTCCTTTGATGATTTTTGATATGGCGCTTTGTTTCGAAGATACGGGGCGAAAAAGAATTTCGACAATAACAATTTTGGTAATTTTAAAATTATTAACGTAGCCGTAATAAAAGTATAGCGTACTACACTACCTACCAAGTAATAAAAAATCTAACAATTCCGTTGGTACCTATCAACAACATTCCCATTACTACAAACGGCTGCAGACATTCAATTTGAATAGTATGTCTCGTAAGTAATCATTTGTATGTGTCGAATAGGTTGGAACTGATTGACTTTTGATTGATCTATTTGACGTGCATTTTCTTTGTTTAATATTTGAAGTCTTTCAATAAATTGATGGATGTAGCAGTTACTATGTGGTAGGAAATCATAATGAAGAAAAAAGAATTGAAAACTTTCAATGTTTTTTACCACTTTTATTTATAACTAACGTTACTGCAGTTTCGTCCTATATAGCACCCCTGTAGGTAATAATAGAGGTACTTGACTTGAGTACCTGACTTTTCTTTACTAGTTACAATGCGGATATGCTAATTTGAAAACCGGTGAGGAAACTGAATCGATTTGATCATTCAACAGGTTGCACCCGCAATTTTTATGCTTGTGAGTTTGTAACCCTTCCTTGCATAGTGCAAAATATCCGTATCCTTTAGATTCGGGAACTTGTGGTTGCATGCCAAGGAATGGTTTGAAAACGTTGAATCATTTTTTCCTAGTCTGATGGACCTTTCATGTTTAGCATACCGTTTTTGGAAATTTCGATTACATTGTCCCACGTAAACACTATTACACTCCGGACACTTAAACTTGTTGTGAACTTGGTGGACAAGTTGAACACTCCAACTCCAATTATCTCTGTTCTTTTTCCAAAATATGTTAGAGTTATCCAATTCTTGATTTCTGGTTGTTTGACCTAAGGGTATATTAATCTGTAAGTGAATTTACGGCTTTTTTTTCTGACTAACTTCTGGGTAGTATCTGGGTTGAAACCATAAGTGTTGGCAATACTAGATTACAGGTACATTAAAGAAAGAGAACTGTAGAGGATATTGGGTTGTTTCAAGTCTTGTCCGTTTTTATGCTTTTAACAGTAATGTCACAATAAATTCTTATTTAATTGAATCAAAATAGAAGCCATTTGAATCAGTGCATTTTTGCCAACGTAACACAAGTCAATTAATTCCATCAGCATAAAAATTTCGTCCTCGGGATTCGATGACGTCAACGAAGACCGTTTTTCCCTTGTTCTCTTTGCCGAAGGTTCTACCAGCGAGAAAGTGACCGAAATGCTTGAAAAGATGGTAATCGATTGGCAAGAAGTCTGGGGAGTACGGTGGGTGAGGTAGAACTTCGTTTAATTTTGGACGGTGATATTTGAAACTTGAGGACGGGCGTTGTCTTGGAGTAGGATCCGACCTCTTCTGTTGACCAGTACCGGCTACCACTGACGGAATTTTCGGTACATTTAGTTGAGTTCCTAACAATAGGACTCTGCCGTGATGGTCTGGCCTGGTTGCAGAGAGTTGTAGTGAATCATACCAGTCGCTGACCACTATACAGTAACCATGGTCTTTTTCTGATGAATTTTCGCCTTTGGGAAGTGCCTGGGTGGCTCTTTGGTGTGCAACCACTGTCCTGAACTTCTCATGTTTTCAACATAGGTGAGGATCTGATCAAAAAAAGGATCGTTCTGGTTGCGCAAAAGCAAAAAACACCTCGAAACGTGACAATTCTTGTCGTTAGTTCAAATCGTGGTGCACCCAGTTTTCGAGCTTACTGACATTTCTCACGCACCGTTCGTGATAGGTTATTCTCCACCAGGGTCTTCAAATCCTCGTTCTGGATTACTGTCAGTCGACAACTTGGGGGCTCATGTTTGAGCCAAAAATCTCTTGAAACGAAATTTCTCAAACCAACGTCGAACAATGCGTTCATCACAGTATCATTGCTAAATGCCCGGTTAATTTTTCAGTTGTTTCGACAGCGCTGTGGTTAAATTTGAATTAATAGAGAAACCAAGGTAACCATCGCTTAACAGAAAATAGACAGAAAATAAAATTAGTAAAAATTGAATGGCATCAATGTATAGAGTACAAAATTCTCTATCGATCAGTAGATACCACGACATAGTAGAATAAATATTGTCAAGATATGGAGCTACACAAATACATGACATTAAAACGGACAAAACAACATAATAAATCCAGTTGATGACCAATTACTTCATCAGAAAAGTAGTGTGTTTAGGCTAGGCAAGGCATTTGCTAATGAAATGTTTCCAAGATGCTTTCTGTGGATATTTGAATTTAAAATAAAAAATAATGATACAACTTGCTTTTTGAATACTCAACATTTTAAAATCTATTTAAAATCTTTTTCTCAAACCAGACGAAAATACTGTCTCTTGACGTGTGTTTCCCTAACATATTTTTTGCTGAGGTACTGATACCTCTAATATCAAGAGGTTGTATGACAAGTGATTTACAAAAAAAATTGGCACAAAATTTGAAAAAATTGCGATTATTTCTAAGACTGTACAATTTTCTCCATTCAACTTTTCCAGCACAAGTGCTTTTTGTTTTCCTACCAGCCTGTAGGTAATCATTTGATCAAATTCAGCAAATACATAATGAATTCACGACTTTCAGCAATAAGACTTGTAAAAGCCAAGCCTGGCAATGCATTGCATGCAAATATTATTCCAAACTTGGATATTAGTAACATTCCATTAATTATTATCACTATTATTAATTATAAAGACGGGACTAATGATAAAAGGGCAATGAAAAAGGTAACACCATTTGAAGCATTTCTTTTAATTCATACTTATTAAACAGTTATATTACACAAAATTAACATACTAATTTTCCTTTAAATATTTACGGGAATGAGGGTCGAGCTTTTTAGGTTCATTCAAAGAAATGATCCGAAAAATGAAAGAAATAAGACACCTAGGAGGGTCTTTTGAGAAAAATAAAGTATGTACTTACCTAACCATAATAATAAATGTGTAACTACAAATCTTTGCAATAAGTAAAGTGTTGGAACAGCTTCGAAAAAATTAATTTCATATCTCTAAATGAAACACTTCACATTAAAAAGCATTTTTATATGCAACTTATACACATATCTACTTGTATATGGATTTGACAGATGTAGTTAATAAGCACGTGAAACATTCGAATTTTTTTTCGTATTTCACGATTAAATAAAAAATAGTATACCTATTCTAAAGGATTATTTGCAACTAATTCAATTACATCAATAACATGTTATATTTTTTACAAGATTCATATTCACTTATTACACATACCTTTGTTACCCTCAATCCAGATGTTACTTTTTATGTTCTTTACATGTTTTAGTTGAATTGTACTTAGAACAAACATTTACAAATTGCATTTCCTACAAATCCCTCTTTAACAATTTAAAATGAAATTATTAATAACTTTGCAGACTGAAAAATAATTTGAAAGTACCTGCCATTCCAGTGCTTGAAAATCAACATTATTTCTTAGACTGCTTTTGAAAATATTTCTTTACTATTTACCACGCTGATCAATTTCTTCTTTATATGAAACAAAACATTAAAAATTCGTGAATCGTACACCAACAATGTTATCTAATCACTTCAAAGATATTCAAGGGAATTTAGAATAGTAATATAAATTTTTTCTGTAGCAACTTAGCATCCTTGAAGAAATCATACTTATTTCATTACTTGCTCTAGAGATTCAGCATCTTGTTTCGTATAGCCCGCTTCTTCCGATATATCTCACCCACTTGATGACATCATGGTCCGAATAATTGAGCTTGGGTTCAAATACTTTGAGATATCTCACTTTGAAGCCTGATGGAGCAAACGGTACCTCAAAGTTCATTGAAATGGGAGGACGAGTCCATTTCTTTTTCGTGTCCGTTTCGAGCAACTCAATTTCTGCAGAGAGCTGAGTTTCTTTCATGCCAGCCATGCGTTTGATCCTGGGAAGAGGTCACGAATAATAAAAATGAAGAAAGAGACACTTGAGTTAATTACTCAAATCTTTCAAGGTTTAAAGAACAATCATCATTGACTACTTACTTCCATACAATGGCATTTTCGGAGGCTTTGTACTTGGCTTTTCCTTTCAGACAAATCAACTGAACCCCGGAAGTATTCAATGGGGTGGGTATCTTGACTTCTATCTTCTGTCCAAGGAGAGACGGTTTGAAGTTACTCTTGAGTACTACTTTGACTTCCATTTTGGTACGTCCTACCTCACGCACTAATGGTATAACTCGAAAAGGAAGAGATATGTCTTTTGTTGTCCTGTATCTATAAATAGAAACATATTTTACATAGTGATGATTGCAAAACTTTTGAACAACACCAATACACTAGTTTTTCAATTTATACTACGATCTCCAAATTTTGGGAAAACAGCCTAATAAAACCAATTTATAGACGTGATTTGATTTTCAAAGATTTTCGAACACATAATTTACGAACAACTAGTAAAATATGTTGATTAAACTTTCTCACAAATAGTATAAAAGACGCCTTTGATAACCAAGAAAAATATGTGAGCGTTTTTACAGACCCTACTTCAGCATTTGATTCTGTAAATCACTCAATTTTATTGGCCAAATTAGATTTCTACGGAGTGAGAGGTGTCTGCCTGGACATGATGAAGTCATACCTTAACGAAAGATATTAAATTGTTGATCTAGGAAATACCAAAAGTGAAAAAAAAAGTTTTAAGAGGAGTGCCACAAGGGTCAATATTGGGGCCACTTCTGTTTCAAATCTATATAAACGACCTGCCTCACGTGATGAACTCGTCAGACATAGAAACTATATTGTATGCAGATGATGCAATCTTGGTCGAAAAATATATAAAATAGATGATCCTCATATGATCCATACTGACATATTAGAGAAAGCTCGATCATGGTTCTCACTAAATGACTTGATTCTCAATGAACAAAAAACAGAAACTTCAACTTTTGAAACAATTTGCTTAAATCGAGATAACAAACATTCTACCAAATTTTTGGGAGTACAAATAGATTCCAACCTGAAATGGATAGACCATTTAAATAGCATGTGAAGTAAACTTAGTAAGACAGTTTTTGCTATCAAAAGAATTAAAAAAATAGTAAATCAAAGTGCGGCACTTGCAACATATCATTCACTTTTTCATTCAGTCCTTAGGTATGGTATAATCAATTGAAATAATGTATCAAAGGTCGCCAGCATTATCAACCAACGACCACTTCCCACACCGTGGGGTAAGTGATTATTGGGTCCGAGAATCATGTGCCCTGAGCAAGCGCAGTGATCCAAAAATGACAGCCTTCTGCATCTGTCCGGCTAAGATGTCTGCCTTAGTGCGGCAAGCCGGTATGATTTTAAGATTTCAGAGTAGAGAGGGCATCATTTCACCAAGGACTCCAATAATCAGAAAAACCACCTTGACAGAGTGATCTGGATAGAGTCTGCGGAGTTTGAAGAGAAAATCTCGATATTTTATCCGTTTTTCCTCCTCTTTTCTGACGATATTCGTCACGCCAGGAGCTGAAAGTTCCACGACAAATATCTTTTTGCTCTGGTGGTCGAGAAGGACTACATCAGGCTAATAAATTATTATTATTAGAAAAACTTGCAAATAATAGGTATAGGCATATGCAATAGATATGAATTTCGAGCTTATTCGAAAGATATCAAACTCTTCAAAATATTATCAACACTGTTTCATCACAAAAAAGGCTACCTTAATGAACTTTTTAATACAAGCAATAGAAAACAAAATGCCGATCCCTTGTATACTGGAAGAATTTTATAAGGATTTTGATAGGGTCATTCAAAATTCATTAATAGCAAAGGTTGAACTAAAAGTAATTTCGTTGATAGAACCCAATATGCTAAATATAAAAGTTTGGTCTTCGAAGACAATGAAGTATTATAATCAGGTACGCCTGAGGGATATTATGAACACAAAAAAACTTTTTGTGAGTAACCTTTCTCAAATTTTTAGAAATAAGATATTTGTTTATTTGATCCTTACAAATACCTAAGAGTGTAATCGTGTGTAAGGTAAGTACTAAAAGCTAGTTACAATCTAAAAAAACTTACTAAAACTAATTATAAGGGCCAATTATTTGCTGGAACATACAATTTGGAGCTTTAATAACAAAATCAGTTCCTTTTAATCTATGTTAAAGTCTACATTTAACCATTCTCCTGAACAAATTGCACTTTCCATTTTTTTTTGTCGAGAAGCAAAATTAAATGTAGCTCATTTATAAAAAAAATTGCTTGTGTTCTCAAATCATTCTTTGGTCTGCATTTGAAATTGTTCATAGTACAATAAGTAAAAAAAATATCTTGTCGGTCTCTCCTATCGGTGGAACCTTCTAAGTTGAAAAGACCCAGTAATGTCTGGTATGATATCATAAAAGGTATACAATTTTTTTCATAAAAATATCTCAAAAATCTTTTTTGAACTTTTTAATAAGATCAGTACATTGGGTTCCATACACAACTAGCTTATTCCAGATGTGACTTTACAAAGGTAATTATATAACCCAGACTGTATTTATATTGAAGTTTTTGAATTCCGCATAACAAATTCAAGAATTGTATATTCCTTCATATTAATAATTTGTAAATGTTCATCTTTCAACCAAAGTTTAGATGCAGACTTCTTCAACATTGATATAAAGAAACTGATTTTGTTATAAAAGCCCCAAATTATTAAATTATCAGTGTTGGGTAAGTTTTTGGAATTTCTGTGGTACCAATTTCATGACCTCTATTTTTTTTAATATGTTGTTAATTGTTAAATTGGCTCATCTATTGATGACTGAATAAACTTACCTCATCAATTCGAACTCTCCATCGGGAGGAATGAAGCTAATGGAATGTTCGGTTTCGAATTTACTCAGCTTTACGCACTGATGGAACTGGCAGTCATCAATGACCACAACAGGTTTACCAGATCTAGCTGGATCTGTGTCGGAGGTAGTGCCAAGACTACCTTTACCTTTGGCCTCCATAACGATTTTATCATTAATGCCGAACTTACATTCGGGCATGCCGGAAAGGTACGATTTCATCACGACTTTTCCGGCTACATGAGCAGATAGCACCTGACCCTCTGGAGACAAATTCCAACACATCAAGGAAAAGTTCATTCCTACGATATTTTATACCTTCACGGCGCCATCCTATTTGACCTGTGACTTGGGATGTTATTTGTGCTTGTTCCTCTTCAGTAGCAGATTTTATACCTTGCTGGGTAATGAATGTTTTCAGCACCCCAGTATCTGTATTCTGAGGGTAGCCAAAATCTAATATTTCGTCAAGCAATTCGTAAATTAATACAAAATTATTCTTGATGTTTTCTTCTGAAATCTTTCCGAAATAAGACTGCATAACCTCAATAATTTTGAGTTGAAACTCAAATACCATTGCTGCATTGACATTTTGTTTAGTTACCGCCGCTATCCATATGTTAGCCCTCTTAATATGGAAAAATGATGTCCTTGCAATATTTGTAACTGGAAATCTAATTTGTTGGCGGGCATGTATAACATTAACCCGAAATGCGTCGACAGCATTTCTACCAATATAAGCCTTCAATCATCTTGAAGGCAAACTACTCGTTGATCTAACACTGGACTTATGCCATAATTTTAGGTCTAAAATCAATTTAGCCCTAATTTTTAGTTTTTTCCGGATGGAGATTCTGACGTTTCACCTTGAATCACTCTCCGCATTGGGTACTACCATATGAAAAATGGTTTGATAGTTTTTGAGTTCAACGCATTCAGACAGACAGACGCGGCAGGTGATCTCAACTTCATAATATATCTAGATTTTGCAAATAACTTATAATTTAGGTATAATTCAGGTAATTCAAGTAAATTCGTGATTCATTTTAGGAGAAAGCCTAGCATGGTGGAAGGAAATTGGAACAAATGGTACGTTCCATTTGAAGAACCCGTAACGATACCATTGCTTGAAGGTTTGTCACCATGTATAGCAATACAGTAAATTAAAAACAATAATCGACAAGTTTCGAGGGAATTTCTAAGTTTATTTAGCTCATAATGAATTTATGCATCAATTATAACAAAATTCGAAATTGTTAGCTTAGTAGGATCAGCTCAAAAAAAGTTAATACGTAATCCGTTACTTTTTACCTAATATACCTAGAGTATCACTAATTCTATCACAAGAAACAATTACGAAATATTCCTTGTAGTATCATTTTCTTTTCTATTCTACTGTGAACTAATCATCAGCAGCGACTTTCTAGCTACCTGTTCGTCTGTTGCAATACCATTATAGCGATAATCTATTAGCGAATAGTGAGTGAAGTATATAAAATGAGTAATTAAGGCACCGTCTCTACACGTCCTGAGGAATGCTACTGTATCTGGATCGTAATTTGTAAACGTATTGCAAGCCTTAGGCTTGCATACATTTCTATTTATTATTGTATGGTCTCGATATCACCGCTGCTAGGGCTTTCAATGGGGGTAAGTGGTACAAGATTTGAAATACGTAAGACATTTCTAATGAAAATGAGAACTAGTGAAATATTGATCCTCGACGCTACAATAAATATACTCTAGCTTTCAAACATACAAATATTTCTGTATAATAACAGACTGATTAGATTAGATAGGGCATTCTTTTGCATCCAGTATAACAGAGTGCATCAGCTGACTTTCCATTTGTAATTTTGAAAAATTTCAACAAAGTGTCACTTTGTTTCCCCAAATATCACCATCGCCCTTTTGATCTTGTCTTTGTTTTTGAAAAATTCCTTCCTGTCACGACAATATTGAAAATTAAATTTTTTGAAAGACATTATCTGTGGTGAAGTTATTATTTCTTGATGTTTTTTGTGGGTATGTACCCACACAATTGAAAGAATGAAGGTAGGGAAATCAATTAAGCATCTGCTAAGTGATATGAACTGGAATTTTCACCAGGAATAGTTACTGAACAGTTCAATTTATCTGTAACTTGCCTACAACTTGTATAATCTATGATGGATAATGATTCGGAAAGTATCTCTGTCCTTTTTCTCAACCATAAATAATCACTCACAATAAAATATCAGGCGAACATCAATAGAATGAAAAGGTCAGATTCGATAATTCACATGAATGCACATACGGAGTGTTTCCGAAGAATTCAGTTTTGGCTCATATCTCTAATTTCAATCATTATGGTTTAATCATACATCTGAGGATCTTGAAGTTCCACCCTTATAACTCTTTACACTAGAAGAAAGAATATTACAATTACAATCTTTCGTATTTTCAAAAATATTTTAGGGTTTTGTTCGTAAATCCATGATAACGTATTCAAAAAATACATATCAATCTGAGATCTCTACTTGAAACTTCAGACAACCATGACACGCATTTCGTTATACGATAACATCTTTGGACATATTGTGACTTTCAAGTAGTAATCTCACATTTAAGTGTGTTTTTTGAAAACAAGATCTCAATGTAAAAGTACCTAGTTCTGAAAGTTGTTCTTACACCATATCTGTAACCAATCGTTGAATACGTATGTTTTTGTATTTACTCGATTGATGATTGTGTGATATTTATATTTGTATATGTGGGGGTTATATGTATCTCAGTTAGCAGTCGCACGTAAAAATGTAAGATCTCCTAAGTTCTCGAGTTACACAACCCCCTTGAGGTTTGTCTTTCGTTGAAAGTTCAGTAAAATGGTATTAGTGTTGCGATCTTTGAACAATGCTACAGGCAACTCAGAGAGAGAAATAATATTCTATCAAAACATCTGTGAACTATTTCCAAAACGAAAACATATTGATTACACTATAAAAAGTTATCAGATCTCGAAGTCATCCAAGCTCTTTACAATGGAGTATGTAGTCACCCTTCAACTCTATGAACCCCACCATATTAAATAATATTACTGGAGTTTTGTCCCAACACCGAACCGTTATTTTTAACACCTCAACACGTGCTTCAATAAGCAAGTGATCGTCTTTATGAGGAAGATTAAACAGTTCATTCTAGTTCTTGAAGATGATAACTTTGTGATTAAAACACGGTCGAGGTGTTAAAAATGACTGTTTGGTTTTGGCATGAAAATTGAGTAATATTTATTTCTACACCAATGGTGCCAAACAGTGCATTGCAACCCCACCATATTGTTGAAACTAACTGTTGCCCGAGATTTCGTTCGCGGGGACTTCTGTATTTGATTTTTTTCCAGATATCTGACAGCAAAATATTCTCATGTATTTGTCATTCTAGAAATATAGTAAACCAAAGTTTTAGTCAAATCAACTGAATGGTGTTTTTTGGTATTATAATCTTTTCCAACAAATGTCTATCGCGATTATTTGAATTGACACAACAGACAGACAAACAGATGTTGTGAAAAGCTTACCATAATCCATTATTTCAAACCGCTTCCGAATAGGAAAAGCCGTTTTCGCACAAATGCACGAAAATTATTAAAATCAATGATTTGGTTTTTATCATGTTAAGAAAAAACAAAATAACAGTTTTTTCGTCAATATCCCCGTATGCAGACAGCGACCAGTTACACGTATTTGGATTTGATTATTGAACTGAACCAAACAAATGTTCTGATTTGAGCTGCTTTCATGGTAGAGGCATCAATTTGGATGCAATATTCAGAAAATTACTTTTCTCCACTTGATATACTTTCTACTGCAAAAGTTTCCGACAATAGATTTGTGAAAATAGCATTCGAATTTGATCAGTAGTTTTTGATATTCGCGCGCACAAACACACAAATTAACAGACAGCGATAAAGTAACACATTAATTGAATGTATTGTTATGTGTCTGGGGCTTCTCTTCACTTCAGGAACCATTGGCACAAAATTACTAACTAGTTAATAAATGTATGATCTTGGGCCCATACGTGATTTCTATGAAACGGTAAGGACACATATTTCAACTATAAGGTAGGGTCTATAGAATAGAGGCGAGTCCACACGCCCTAACGTAAGAAACTTGACTCACCGTGAGATCTGATAACTTCTTAATAGTGCAAATAATATGTACCCATTTTGAATATGTGATGTGTCTCCAATTATTTGTGACACATCAGTGGAGTTGTCACACAAATGGCTAATTTCAAACGGGAGATTTTTTTCCGCTCCGCATATGAAAATTTCGAATTGGTGATGGTTTTTCGGAGAAGAAAGGTCGAATTCAAAATCTGCGAAGACAACTTACACATTTCAAAAAGTGTCAATGAGAAAGTGTGTTTATTTTTGCGAATCTTCTTGGATAACGTCCGGAGAAACTTCGAACAAAATTGGCGAAATTTGCTTCTCTTCAAATACCTGCGGAATTATTTGAAATGGGAAACTCATTCTATGGCTTCTGATCTCATCTATTTCTATGGACAAAGAGTATATTGAATAAACCTTCCGAAATGGTTCATACCAAATTATGTTATTGAAAAACTAAAGTCTGAACCGCTTACGTTCTACTAAGAAAATGGGCTGCTTATAGCTTCTAAAACTGTTTTTTATTTTGTGAATGTTATACAATTCCAAATTTGATTATTTGACAATTACGTGACGTTTTTCCATTATTTCAATAAACATTGGCGTTACAAAAAACATTAAAAAAGGGAAGAAAATAAATGTTGATTCCTTCAAATTCTCAAACACACACTATGGCCATCTGTACATGAATATGTTCAACATGTAACATGTTAAAATAATAGAATATGCATGGCGTCCATTCAAGGCATATGAGTATTGTTGATCACTTGGAGAAAAGTTTTCGAAAAATGTGTTGAACGTCAGAAAAGTGATTCGATATCATTTACATTTTCATCTACAAATTTCCCATCAAAACTTTACATATGTCTCCTTTTGATTACGGATTTTCTTTGGATATGATCAAAGCGGAGTGTTAAAAAAAGTGTCATTCAGGAGCAATGAATCTGCATTCAAACATATCTTCCAATTCTTGAAGAAGTTTTTTAATAACTTGAAATCTATTTTCCAAAGTTAAAGTTATTCTGTCTTGAACGAATTTATCAAGATTTTCCTGCTTTTTCAACTCTAAGATGGATATTGAATATTTCCCACTTTTCTTCAAGTTTTTCTTAAATAATCATTGAAAAAGCCCGTGGGTTGGGCTACTTATCTTGCGTGTCCCCAGATGGCGGATAAGGGAACGGCCAGGGGACTGGGGGCTCTGCCCGGGAAACCAATGTGGCCTTACGGACGGGGTCGCCGGACTCCTGGTCAGTGGCAGAAATAAATAGGGTACGGGAACCAAAACTCTTCAAAAGCCTTTGCAAAACATGCCACCGTGGACCAGCCTACCCAAGCTAAGGTGAAAGGAATCGTGCCGACAGTTTCAAGTTTTGATTGAATAACGATTGAAAAGTATCCAATTGTTGAATACCTAACACCAACCACAAACTATATTTTATTCAGATGATTTTGAATTATTTTTCGTAAACACTACTCAAAATTTACGTACATTAATCCTCTCATGCATCATTCTATTTCACGATCAATAAAGATTTCTACTGATTACATGGCTGGATCAAAGTTAACGCGAAACAAAACACATTACAAAATTTCATTGAAATAAGTGAAACGTGATTTATATTGTCACAAAATTCAAATTGATGAGGTTGACATCAATTTTGAAAACGCAAAGTGAGTATTACAGAAATTGTTGATTTGGAAGAAATGTATACGGAATATAGAAATCTCAATGCAATTTTTATAATAATAGTATTTATTTGCCAAAAACAACTACAGTTACCAATGTCAATATTACAAATAAATAAAGAGTTAGCCACATGAAGCATGATTTTGTATAGTGGTTGAGAGAAAAGAGAAAAAAGGGAAAAGGATTAGAAAAGAAAAGAATGAAAGTTATCACTTTATATACATCAATGATATATACCCACAGTCTTTAGTTAATATCAATTCATATCAGTTGTTTACTCATGTGATCATAACTAACAATCGAATGATTTTATTATTTCATCTGCAGGTGCGAAGAATACCTGCACAACGTATTCGTGATGTGGTCGTGGGTGTTTCAAAGCATCGGCTTCCTCTGTAGATTTGTGAGTTCATTAGCAGATAGCGGTGCAGTTGGAAGGCAGCACAAAGGCTTCCGGTAGCGCTCTATGGCGCAGATATGACTCAAAATTTAATTACACTTTACTGTTGTTTTCGGTAGAAATGAAAAAATTGGAATAATCAGATTGTAACAATTCATTGAATGAAATGAGGATATAACTGAAGCGTCGAAACACTTAAATCAATTAGCAAACTAATTGTTGATGATTTCAGAATTTAATTCATTTCTGCTCATAGAACTAACAGAATATTTCGACACTCTGAAACAGTGGAGTTGAGAGGAGGATATTTCTTTGTTACTTTTGTTTACATCAGCTATCATTCGGAAATGAGGTACTTTCATCAATATTTAGTGTAAACTAGAACTATGAACTGATTGATCAAAATGTTTGCTCTTATCGTAATGAACAGATGTCATGAATGATGTCTGCGGATCATCATAATGTGACAACTGTCGCTACTGGGTTTCCTCGCAACCAATGCACATACCACTGATGATATTTTTCGCAGTAGCAGACGAAATGTTTGATATTTCAGGTTCAATTCGACCACGGCTTACCAGCTCAGATTTCCTTCCTTGAACTTTTTTTCCATTCATTTTTTCCATCGACCCCCCGATGTCCCATGGAATTTCATTTTTCTCCATACTTTTCACATTTCCTTTATATACTTCCCTATACTTGCATAAGTTATCTTCACTCATTTTTTCCTGAGCCTGACAGCTTGTCACGGTTCACCCAATATTCCAGTAGTCTTTTGTGTACCTCTTTGTAGTAATAGATATACAGTGTTCCAATATCGACCGTTATTCCAAGGTACTTTACATTCATCCCATTCCATACCCCTTCAGCATTCATTCTGATGACCGACCCTCCTTCCTGCTTGTTCTATCCTCTATCTCGTTTTCGTCATAACTCAGCCACATCTTTTATTCTTACTCCTCATAAACACCATATCAGTTTCTCTTGCATTCAGCCATCTTGTTTCGTTTTCTTCGACGGTGATAAGCTGGTAGTGTGCACAGAAATGCTATCGCTTTTCGATCGAACCATTTTTCCATGATTTTGAGCCAAAGTGTCAGCCCAGAGCTGGAGCCCTGCGGATATATCCGGTCCATTGTTTTGGAGTTGCCCTATAAAATTCACAAACAACCTTTCCACATTTTTTGGTGTAGGTCTGTTTGTCTAGTACATAAATACTCCTGACATTTTCAGAGAGGGAATCAATTCATTAGAGTAGATGTAAACAAATATTCGCAACGGAACCACAAGAAAAAAATAATTATGTTTTCTCAGAAACTTTGGTATACTAGTTGAACTTCATACTGCTTTTTCATGAAAGGAGTAATTTTAAGGAGATGAGAGATTTTCAACATATTATTTCTAATAATCTGCTAGTGATACTCAATCTACTTCTGAAAATTCTGTAAAATGTATCGTATGAAAAAAGCTACATTTCTGAAGGGAATCAAAAATCAACATTCCAGTCGTCGCCCCTCAATGAGTGAACCTGTCCCCGATTTTCAAAGCTGATAACATCCAAAAGTAAATAGTTGCTCAACGGAAATTCTTAAACTGTTTACAAATACCAAAACAGGTGTCTGAAACACTCGTACCACTAGATAATAATTAATTCATAACTTATCAATCAGATTTATGATAAATCAGGACGTTGCATATCTGCTTAATTATATACTCCATTCATAATTGCTGATTATTGATTAATCCGTGGATTATAGCTCTAGGTGCATTTTTTTCGAAGGCTTTCTTATTATTTTCTGTGTTATCTCAAGTTCTTATCAGTTTGACTACTTTAGGAAAGGTCTGATTGTTATTTGTAACTTCATTAATATGTATGTTGCGAGACATTGTTCATCGGAAATCTATGAACAATCTATTTGAGTTGATATTATATGTTTAGACTCTAGCCTGACCAGATGTTATGGTGAAGCGAGTCCACCAGCGTGGTATCAGTTGTTCAAGGCATTCCACTTTTTTGTCGGGTATCGCAAGGCATCTGAGCAAATGCAAGATAAGCTCATGTAATGTTGTATCAAATGCCTTGCGGTAATCGATCTAGGTCATGAAGAGGAGAGGTTTTGCTTACACTATGTCGAATCCTGCGTTACACATCTATCGATAAGTGGGTTCTCTTCACATCCAGCGAATCCTCTCTTCGACCCTCTCTGCTCCTATATCCGTTCGAATAATCGGTCAACTGCGGTGAGTATTTGTATGTATAAGATGCTCGCAAAAAACTTATAACATAAATTTGACAAGTTATCGGTCTGTAATTTTTAGGAATCGACAAATCTCCACTTTTGGGGATGACAACTGTCCGCCTGTCGAAAAACCAATCCGGATTCAGCTGTTCTTCGTCTAGTCTAAAACTCTGATCAGATGGCGGTGTGTACTTGATAGTTTTTTCACCAATAAATGTTCAGCACATGTGTGCCCGGATCAGCAAAGTTCTTGGAAATCGCACTTTTCGAACGTTATCTGGGGTTGTCGTGTTGCGCATTTCACTGACCTCAAGCTATCGAAGGTTTCTGCTGAAAGCTTTGAACTGCGCCAGTGCTGGACTGTCTATGTTGAGTGGCTGCGGGTGTTCCAGAACGATTTCACCTGATCAGCGATCGGCGAATTATTCACAACACGCGAAAGCTCTTGGAATATGCGAGAAAGTTTCTCACTAGTTTCTTCTCAGCAGCCATCTCCTATCAAAGCAGTGCTGTTTGGTGGCCGGTAGCACGACTTGACTCAAAGTGTGACGATTATGTCGTACTTTGGCAGCTACTCGCCGCATTGCGGCCTGTTTGTCGCCCAACATTACTCATTGCATACGAAACGCGTGTTGTCGCCAACGTGATCTTATAATCCATCTTGTGTACCCGCCGTTCAACCTCAATGCCGAAATTTCGTCCTTCAGATTCGAAAAGCGATTGGACGACACTGTACATGGCGGTGTCAATTTGGCAAGCTGTCATGATCGTATGAGATTAGAGGGGGCATCATTCAACTAAGGAATCCAATAAATAGAACAAAAATCTGGACAGTGTGGTCTGGAAAGAGTGTTCTGGATATAGTCCGCAGAGGTTCGTATTTTCATCTGTTTTCGGAGATATTTGTCTCACCAGAAGCTGAAAACTCCACGACAAATACTGTTTCAATTTGATGACCAGAAAGAACTTCATCAGGCCTATTATCTTCTATGAGCCTGAGGGAAAAGGAGGAAGAACTGAATCCGGCACAAACGATTCAATATCCCCTCAGAGCGTAGGGCAACACCGGTGTCTCATCAATACCGTGGAAGTGCCGATGGTGGTAATAAAGCACTCTCAGAGCCGCGTTATGTCGATGGATAAAAAATGTTCTGAAGGAACAATTTGTTCAGGACAGTCTTCAGAAGTTTTTCCTGCATATGCTGTTGGCGACACAACTGCCGCATTAGATTTTCAATTATTGGAACACACTTGCAGTCTGGTTTCGGGTTTCGAATAACTCCAGTGAAGAATCCTGCACTGACACCTGTTGGGTATAATCCAACGCCCTCCGTAGTATTAGCCAGGGGAGAAGTTGTTTTCTGATACGTGTCAGTCCATTACCTTACATTGTAGGGAGTTAAGACTGGCCTGAGCCAGTTCCTTCAGATGATTCGATTTACAGCCAGTCTTCAAGTATGCCTACTGACTATGTGTCAATAGATATAGGCTGAGACGATGGTTAGGCCCTGTCTTCGAAGCTCCGATTCATTTGAGAGGGCGCACCAGCATTATCGACCAATGACCATTCTCCACACTGTGCGAATGAAACCCACTTAAAATGAAAGATAATATAAAACAATTGAAAAAAAGTATAAGTTACGGTCGATTTTGGGTCGGGAAGTGCGAGGGGCTGAGTATTTAAGGGTAAATATCGGTTCATCTCGATTTCCGACAAAACTACGAGTCCTATAGAAAAAAGTTGAACGGTAAAGTTGTAGGTAATTAAAAGATCTACAATTTTTGTATTCGCACATTTCTCACATAACTTCAAAATTTATGTGAAAAATTGAAATAATCCTGTTTATGGTTTTTCATTTTTATCTTTTAGAAAAAAAAAATGTTTTCACGAAATTCAATGGAAACTCACCTTCTCATATACCCAACACACTGTTATTTTTTGGATTTGAAATATTTATTTTTTCACCTTATTTTGATTCAATATCGAAAAAGCCCCCCTATTTTCAATCGAAAATTCACGTGTCAAAATATCTGGTCTTATAAAAAGTCGGTGATATTTTCGTTCGTTGAAATTTCCACCTTCTAATAGTGTAAAAAAATATACGTTACTATAGTGAATATTCTCAGAAAATGCGAAAAACCAAAAAAAAATTCGAATCCTATTTTTTTTCAATCATTATGTTAATTTTTGAGCTGTTTATCAAAATCACCACTTCAGTTACCCGTGTAACGTTAGATTCCATGTAATATTGATAACCAAAAAAATATAAATCGAAATATACTACTCTAATTAACAACCAAATAATTTCATAATGTATTACTATAATAATTTTGAAGAAAAAAGTAATACAGATCATGAAATTATGAAACAAAAGAAATTAATTGGCGCTCCGGCGAGACTTCATTGATTCCAATAGCGCATTTGCTTTTTCAGTTGTAGGAAAACCCGAAAAAACCTGCAGCACTATATCATCTGAAGATCTTGATCTGCCAATTTCCTCTCTTTCATAAAACAAAATGTAGGATGTCTCCAGAGGCTTCAATAAATTCAAGACATCGCTATCATAAAGTTAATATTTGACAAGCCATCTGCAATGTTTACCATTTTTGCAGGAGAAATTTTCATCTAAAGGGAAGAACAAGATCGAGATAATAGAAACGTTAATGAAAACATTACAGTCACAAGGATTTTCCTGTAAACAAGCAGAATATTCTGATATAATTAATACCTCGATAGAAATTGCTAGAGATACAAATGAACCTGACATTGTTGTGGGCCAAGATATTGATCTTTTTTTTTTAACCAATTTAATTCAAATAATCATGGTATTTATTTTCTTAAGCCAGGTTCTGGAAAGGTGAAAAATCAATTTTTCACGTCTAATAATCTCAAATAGGAATCTTTCCAAAATATCGTTGGATTTCTGCCTTGTTTTCAGGTTGAGATACAACGTCTGGATTTGTCGGAAAAGTTGAAAAATTGAATCGTCCTTCATATTTGCAAATCCCCCACCCACAAAATGTGCAGCAGAATAACATAGTAACAGGGCATATAAACTTCAAACTTGGCTGGGTTCTTCGCAAAGGATCCCTCCGATCAGCGGTTAGCGGAATATCCATAACACGAGGAGGCTGTTGGAGTGAGCGAGAAAATTTAAGGATACTGGTTGCTCGCCACACTAGTAACTTTCAAGCAGCCACTAGCATTCGTATACCATCAAGGCATTGTTGTTTGGTAGTCAACAGCACGACTAGACCTAATGTTAATTTGCTATCAGCACGTTTGGATGCCCTTGCGTCCAAACGTGCTGGTTCTTGTGGCTTCAGGTGCCTAATTCTGTGGAGCGTTCTTCATATTCTGATTTACTCAGTCCATTGATGGCATGGTGCGAGTCACCTCTTCAGTCACGCCAACAGATGGTGGAACTGACACTTTTATCACTTCGTTAGCAGGCAGGGGAGCAGCTACATAGCCTTGCCGC